GTGTGGTGGGGCTGCAGCTCCTCACGTGACGCTCAGGTGTCCAGAATTCCGGCCGTGTGGTGGGGCTGCAGCGCCTCACGTGACACTCAAGGGTCCGGAATTCCAGCCCTGTGGTGGGACTGCAGCGCTGGCTCACTGCGGCCTTAAGCTGCTTTCTCCTACGCCTGGAGATGCTGCATGAATTTTCAAATGCACAACTGGTCATTCCGTCCCTCTTTGTGAAACGTCTGTCCAGGTCCTTTCCCCGTGGTTAACTGGGTTGTCTGCTTAGTTATAAGAGAATTTTACATACTCTGGTCAAAGGTCCTTTGAAATCAAAGAGGAGGGGCCAGGCACGGTGGCTCATGCCTATAATCCCAGCAGTTTGGGAGGCCAGTGTGGGCGGATCACAAGGTCAGGAGTTTGAAACCAGCCTGGCCAGTATGGTGAAACCCCATCTCTACTAAAAATACAAAAAAATTAGCCAGGCGTGGTGGCACATGCCTGTAGTCTCAGCTCCTCCTTGGGAGGATGAGGCAGGAGAATCACTTGAACCCAGGAGGCGGAGGTTGCAGTGAGCCGAGATCTTGCCACTGCACTCCAGCCAGGGTGACAGAGGGAAACTTTGTGTCAAAAAACAAACAAAAAACAAAGAAATCAAAGGAGAGTTGAAAAATTTTTTAAGTCCTTTGAAAGACAGAAGCATTTTCTCCTTTTCTGTAACTGCTCTTTAATTTTCTTTTTTCTTTTTTTTGAGACGGAGTTTCACTCATGTTACCCAGGCTGGAGTGCAATGGCGCGATCTCGGCTCACCGCAACCTCCGCCTCCTGGGTTCAGGCAATTCCCCTGCCTCAGCCTCCTGAGTAGCTGGGATTACAGGCACACACCACCATGCCCAGCTGATTTTTTGTATTTTTAGTAGAGACGGGGTTTCACCATGTTGACCAGGATGGTCTCGATCTCTTGACCTCGTGATCCACCCGCCTCGGCCTCCCAAAGTGCTGGGATTACAGGCTTGAGCCACCGCGCCCGGCTCTTTAATTTTCTTAACTCTTCCAAAGAATTGAAGCTTCAAATTTTGGTGAAGTCCAAATTTTAGTGTTTTTCTTTTTTCCTTTTTAAATTTTACTTTAGGTTCTGGGGCACATGTGCAGGTCATGAGGGCTGTTGCATAGGTGCACACTACATCCGGCATTTCTCCACGTTACCCCTCCCCACCCTTCACCCCTCCCGAATTTTAATGTTTTTCTTTACGGCTAGTGCCATAAAGAAAAGTGTCTACGCTAAGAAATCTTTGCCTACCCCAAAGCTGCAAGGACCTCTCATGTTTCTTTCTAGAACTTTTAGTTCAGCTTTTACACTTAGATTTATACAGAATAAAGTAAGAGCTAAGATTCACTGTTTTCCAAACAGATATCCAGCTGTTGTAGCACCACTTTTTCAGAAAACAAAAAAACAATGTTCATTTCCTCTCTGAATTACATTGGTGTGTCTGTCAAAAACAATCACCATGGGCCAGGCGTGGTGGCAGGCCCTGAATCCTACTCGGGAGGCTGATGTGGGAGAACTGCTTGAACCCAGGGGGCAGAGGCTGCAGTGAGCCGAGATCCAGCCGCTGTGCTCCACTGGGTGACACAGCGAGATTCCAAAGGAAACAAAACACCAGTCACCACAGGCTGTGGGTCCGCTTGAGTTTCTGTCTGTCTTCTGCACAGGCTGTGGGTCCGCTTTGAGTTTCTGTCTTCTGCACAGGCTGTGGGTCCGCTTGAGTTTCTGTCTGTCTTCTGCACAGGCTGTGGGTCCACTTGAGTTTCTGTCTTCCGCACAGACCTGCGCTTGAGCCAGGCAGTCTCCACTCAACTCCCGCAGCTTTAGAAGAGTCTTGAACCCAGCAAGGTGCGCCCTCCAGCTTTGTCCTTCTCCACCGTCACCTTGCTGTTTCAGATCTTCAGTGCGTCCATCAAAGTGTTAGATTCAACTTACCCGCTATGATGGAACTGTTCCAGGGAGGGGCCTGGTGGGGTCAGAAGCTCTCCAGGTGGTTCCCAAGGGCAGCCAGGGCTCACAGCACCGAGTCACATACGACCACAGCAAACCTCACCAGCTCTCCATTCTGCAGTCGCTCCCAGGAGTCGGCCCCACCACCCCACACTCGCCTCCTCGCTTGCTCCGCTGCACCTGCTATGGCTTCCCCTCCAACTCAGCGTTCCCGTCCTGGGCCCTGCCCACTCGGCTCTGGACCCACCCCAACTCTGCTCTGTTTCTCTTCAATATCATCAGCCCACGTGCTTACCCTTTTGCTCTTTTCTGTCTACCTGTCCCCACCACCAGAATCAAAGCTCCATGTGAATGAAGCCAGTTTTGCTATGCCTAGAACAGCACCAGCGCAACGGGCTCTTGATAAATATACACCCCGAGAATGAGCAAGCGAAGGGATCTGGAGAGAAAAACGCCACCATGTCATCGTCACACGAACACACGAGTCACTGACCCCGTGCATGGTGTCTGATCCCACCTGCACTAAATAAAAAGTGAGGGGCACAAAATCGTGCGGGTGAAAACACGCTGTTGGTGGGGAGTGAGCATGGCACCGGGCACAGGCTGGGAGGGGGGAGTGAGTGAGAGTCAGCGTGGGGCTGGGCACAGGCTGGGGGGGGGGGGGGGGGGGGTGGGCACAGGCTGGGGGGAGTGAGCGTGGGGCTGGGCCAGGCTGGGGGGTAGTGAGTGTGGGGCTGGGCACAGGCTGTGAGGCACAGACTGAGTGGGCTTCCCATGTTCTTGGTGCCTCCCACAGTCCGATGTGAGTAAAGAACCTGAACTGTCCGGATCACGAGTGGGCACTGGCCCGTGGACCACACCTAGAGGTCTCTCCTCACTGCCACCAGCCGACCCACACCCAGGGTGCTCGCAACAGCTGACCCGTGGCCTGGGGCTGCTCACAAGCGTGTCTGGCCAGGCTGAGCGGCTGCCAAGTGACAGAGCTGAGTCCTCCCGCCCACGCCTGCTGCTGGGATGGCCCTTCCTAAGCCCAGGGACACCCCCTGGACATCAGGAGTCACTAGATGCACAGACTGAGCCCCCACCTTGGCATCCAACAAGTAATTGTACGGCATGAAGATGATGTCGGCCTGCTGCTTCAGGTTCCGGGACAGGTAGTAAGGACACACCCTGGAAGGGAGAGGGGGGAAGGTGCCATGAGCGCCCCGTTCGGGGAACGACCGGAGGGCGGGGCCGCCATATCTTCTGACCAGGAAGAAGCCTTATCCTGTGCGTGGGGCCCAGGTGGGAAGCTGCTGTCTGGGATGGATGGGGAGTCCACATCAGTTTCCAACCCTGTGAATCATCATCTCTTTAAAAACTCAATGGAAAAGAAAAAACAACCCTATTCCTGAATAGAGGTCATCAGAAACCAACACAACACAGAACCACTACAAAAAAGGCAGAGCTGGCAAGGTGCAGTGGCTCATGCCTGTAATCCCATCACTTTGGGAGGCCAAGGTGGGCAGGTAGCTTGAGCTCAGGAGTTTGAGACTGCCCTGGGCAACACAGTGAGACCCTGTCTGTACAAAAAATACAGAAATTAACCAGGAATGGTGGTGCGTGCCCGTAGTCCCGGCTACTTGGGAGGCTCAGCTGGGAGAATCGCTTGAGCCTGGGAGGTTGAGGCTGCAGTGAGCCGAGATCACGACTCTGCACTTCAGCCTAGGAAACAGAGCTAGACCCTGTCTCACAAAAAAAGGGGGGAGGGGAGCTTTTCCCCCTAAATATAAGAAAGGCTTTATTACAACTTGAATCTCTGAAGCTATGATCTATTGACATCGGACACATCTGCTGTCCTCAAAAGAACGAGGCCAAGCTACCAGCACCAGTATGAGAAGCTACTCCCAATGCTGAGTGAAAACAGCAAACTGCGGAACACTCTGCAGACAAAACTGCGTGCCTCCATAGGCAGACGGGCCTGCAGGGTCCTGCAGACACAGGGTCCACAGTGGCCATCTGAGGTGGCTGAGGGCCAGGGACTAGGGAGGCAGTATCACTTTTTACTTTATGTTCCTCAGTGCTGCTTAAACTTTTTCATACTGAATAGTTGTCAGTTTCATAATTTAAAAGGAACAAAAAAAAAGGAAAGAAACATATTGGGGGTTTGGCAGGCCATAGGAGAGCTGGGCCGTGGAAGGACATCGTGAGCGTGGCCTCACCAACGGGTCTCACCTGTGCCTGCTTCCGCTCTTGACCAAGTCCTCGATGTCCAGGATGGGGCTGGCCAGCTCCTGCTCCAGGCTCTTCTCTGTAGGTGTGAGGCAGGGGTAAAGACACACCCTCAGGGTTTCTAAGTCTCCCAGATCACAGGGGGATGCCCAGGACAGAACAGTTCCTCCACAGCGGGCAGGGCTGGGCATCCCCCCACAACCATGAACATGCCACAAAGCACCCACTGAGGGTCTCAGGTGCCCAAGGGAGGCCCCCACCCGAAGTGATCCCGACAGAGTCCTCCTCTGCCCCAGAAGGCAGTCTGAGGCTGAGGGTGGATTCAACAGAGGCCAGCAGTGTCCCGAGGGTCCTCCGCATCCACTCCAATACAGCCCAAGACAGGACAGGGCTGGCGGCCATACCCAGCCCTCCTCAGGGCAGGAAAGGACAGCCCCTCAGCCTATCGCCCCAGGCCACAGAGTGTCTCTTACAAACCCTTGCGATTACAGCCGCTTCACTCAGCTTCCCTGCCAACCACAACAGACCCAGAACTTCCAGCTAAAGAAGAAACAGATTTTATGGTGCTCCCCGCACTCCCCCAGCCCCCCGCAGCATGGCAGCCATGGGAATGGGCACTGCCTATGCTGGCTGAGAGGCCCAGGGCAGAAAAGGTCTCAGGGAGTTTGGGGGATGGCCGGCCCCTCCCTTGCCTCCACAGCACAGGCTCCCAAACTGGAACCACAAGAATTCCTTAAGGAGCTGCTTAAACACAGACAGGACCAGGGACCTTTCCTAACAAGCACCCCAGAGTCTTAGGGCAGTCACGTGTGGCAGTGGAGCCTCCCCCAGCTCCCAACTCCATCATGGCTATTTTCTGCCAGTCCCTAGCAGGTGCCACGTCCCCTGAGGGCCAGGACTCAGCTGCAAAGGCCAGAAGCAAGTGCGTACACACACACACAAACACACGGACGCGCACGCCCACATACACACGCACACGCACACAAACACATGCACGTGCACGCCCACATACACAAGCACACACAAACACACATGCGCGCGCACGCCCACATACACACACGCACACACACGCGCGCGCACACATACATGCGCACACACAAATGCACGACGCGCACGCTCACATACACGCACACGCATGCGCACACCCACATACACACACACAAACACACGCATGCCCACATACACACACACATGCATTACACACCTACACACCAGCGATGACCCAACCCCAGGTGCCCCAAGGATAGCAGGGAAGGCAGGGGAAGAAAAGCATATCCCTCAGCAGCACCATAGCAACAGGCCAGCCAATCAGCATGTGCTGCAGCACCCAGCACTTTCCAGCCCTTCCCTGGTGGAGAGCTGAGGACAGCCTGAGGACGGGAGCTTCGAGGGGAAGGGGACGAGGGGCAGGGCCGTCGCAGAGGCTCCACCCCAGGCTAACCCCAGGCCTGCTGTCCCTGCCTGAGTCCTTACAGGCCAGGAAGGGTACCAGCTCTCCAGCTGTCTCCTTGTTCATCCAAAATACCTGCCTCCCTTCCTCTCATGCCCCTCCTGGAGCTGCAGCCCACTCCAAAGATGCCCAGGCCTCTGCAGCTGCTGCAGACACCACCCTCACAGCCCATCCACGGGGCAGACAGGACACAAAGGTTCACAGCTAGGCAACCCCCACCAGGTCAGGCAGTGAGAGTCCAAGCCAAGGGGGACAGGCTGGGGGCTGGTCTGTGTCTTCTTGGACTGAGCCCACAGGCCGGAGGAGGAGAAAGAGGGGGGACCCAACACCCACAGGCCTGACACCCATGGAAGCAGAACCAGGAGGCAGTCAACTACCCTCACCAGGGAGCAGGTCCAGCAGCCACAGGGCGCTGCCCTAGTCCAGGACCACGGCCAGCCAGGCCCATGGTCAGCATTCCACCCTACCCCAAGGACACCCCCTGCATGAGCCTAGGGACACCCAGAAGGCGTTCCTGTCCTGGAAATCCGGGCGAAGAACTCGGAAATAATGACTGTTGACAATTTCCAACAACACATCTGCCTGTCCGTCCCAGAGTCACCTCTCACAGGCATGGCTGAGACGGGCGTGCAGCTCCCGTCAGGGAACCTGGGGCCTAGATACAGAGCCCATTCTCAGGACCACCAGAAAGGCCTGGACAACCACACATCAAGGTGGCTGGGGACCTCGGTGCCACCAGACCAAAAAAACAGCAAACAAGAGCCGGGCGCGGTGGCTCAAGCCTGTAATCCCAGCACTTTGGGAGGCCGAGGCGGGTGGATCACAAGGTCAAGAGATCAAGACCATCCTGGTCAACATGGTGAAACCCCGTCTCTACTAAAAATACAAAAAATTAGCTGGGCATGGTGGTGCATGCCTGTAATCCAAGCTACTCAGGAGGCTGGGGCAGGAGAATTGCCTGAACCCAGGAGGCGGAGGTTGTGGTGAGCCGAGATCGCGCCATTGCACTCCAGCCTAGGTAACAAGAGCAAAACTCCGTCTCAAAAAAAAAAAAAAAAAAAAAACAAAAAAAAAAAAAACAGCAAAGTAGAAGGCCACACAGAACACGCCTCAGCAAGCGGGGTCTCCCTGCAGGGCCAGGTTCCATCTACCCTGTCTCTTCAAGGGGCAGGGCCCAGAAACGCCTGGTGATGGGTCATGAGGGACCACCCAGCTCCGCCCCTGGCAGGGAAGCGCCATCCTAGATGCCACGGCAGCTTCAGGATCCCCAGTCCTGGTACACTGAGCACTCGTCAAACATCCTGCAGATGGCAGCCTACAGGACCACCGCCGCCTTCTACACTCCAGGGCCGCGTCAGCCAGGGCTCAAGCCCCAACCCCAAGGCAGGAAACAGGGAACCCTGATCCCACAGAAGCCCAGGCCCCAGTGACTGAAGACATGCCACCTCAGGTCACAGAAAACACCAAGGGCACCAGACAGGGGCTCACCCTGCCACTGCCTCTGGGACCCTGTGATGAGCCCCAGAAGCCCCTGACACACCCGAGGGACAGCCACGTGGGCGGAAAAGCACCCCCGGCCTCTGACAGGCTGTGGCCGCCCCAGGTAGGTCCCTTTCACTCACTCATCCTGTCTCTGGAAGAAGCCCCAGGGCCTCCTGTGTGGGACCCACAGGACTCAGCCTGGAGTCACACTTGGGGCTGTAATTTTTTGCAGCAAGGGAACACACAACAACCTCAGCACAGGAAAAAGACACATGGGGCAGGGTCGGGGGAGGTCAGACACAGCTTCCAGGACTCCCTCCCAGAATGGTATGAGGGCCCGTCCCGGGAGCACCCACTGCTGGGCGAGCAACAAAATCCCAGGCTCCCTGAAGAGAAAGAAGGTATTCAGCAAAACCCTGCTGTTTGCACCAACACTTTAGGTGCAGGAAGCCCCTCATCAGGAAACGGAGGGAGCCTTTGCAAAACCCACGACCCCAGGCACCAGTCAGAGGCAGTCTTGCCGGCTGGCTGTCATGGACCACTGTGTGAGCACTTCCATACAGGAGCCTCGAGTCAGAAGACAGGGCCCAGGTACACGACCGCATTGGCCATCCCACCAGGCAAGCACGACCAGGCTGTGACACCACAGAGCTCTGCCCTGAGAGACTCACACACTTGAATCCCACACCCTGGTCCCACCGACCCTGGTCCCACCAGCCCCGGCCCCACCAAGCTCCACCTGAGAGGCTCACACACTCCAACCCGACCCCAGCCGCCATGAGCTGCTCGTACCTTCCACGTTGTTGTAGAAATGACAGGAACGACTTGCAACCTTCTTTCGACACAAGTGGATCTGGGGGAGAAAGGGCAAAGTGGGCGGCTGGAACACGGCTGAGAAAAGACCTGAAACAGCCTCCACCCACCAGGTCCTCCCCTGCAGTCCCCCGGGTGTACTTCAAACCCTATCCCAGCGGGAGCAGAGCCTGGGGCTCTGGACACCCAGCAGCACTCGCCTCACGGGATCCTGAGCCACGGAGGGGGCCCAGAAGCCCACCTGCATGTGGTTACTCTCCTGCTTCTTCACTTCAGGGTGGATGCACAGCTGCTCCCGGGAGCCCAGCACACACACCTTAGGCCTGGTGGGAGAGGACACATGGGTGGGAGCCCAGCACACACGCCTCGGGGCCGGGTGGGAGAGGGC